AATCCACACCAACCCATTGACCTCCACATCCTTTATCTTTATCTTATCCCCAACTCCAATTCACTTTTCTGGTTTTTTCAACATCTTGATTATCAGAATACTGCCAAAATTCATTGCTGTACTCAGTTTGGCTCGTTTGCTCTTTCTCTTAGTTTGTGCTTATTCTGGGGCAACTTTCTGGTTTATTGAACCATAAGTATTTTTTACAGTTCACAGTATGTTTTCATTTATTGGTTTCCCGATTTTCGGAACTTACTTTCCAAAGTATTCACCAATTTACTTCGCATATATTCAAGTCTGGCACACGTTTTCGTGAATGGCTCATGGATGCTTGTTACCCGGATGCTTATGAAAGAAACAGCTTGACACCGCCAGCAACAACTACCATTCTCTCCGCTGCTGTCTAGATTTCTTAGATGTACACAATCACCACAAAGAGTTAGACCGATGGCTAAAGTGAGATTTGTCGCACTCAAATGTTTACAGTTGACAAATTCTACCCCGGGAATTAAACTCCACTTAATCTATCTATCTATCTATGTATCTGAATATCTATCTAACTATCTGTCTATTTATCTATATGTCTATCTATCTATCTATCTATCTATCTGTCTATCTATCTTTCTAGTGATATATCCATCCAATATCTATCTATCTATCTATCTATCTATCTATCTATCTATCTATCTATCTATCTATCTATGTTCTATCTATCTATCTATCTATCTATCTATCTATCTATCTATCTATCTATCTATCTATATTATTTATATTTTGGATGATTGTGTAATCAGTCCGGAAAAACATGGACGCTTGATTTTCCGTCTGCTTCTTTTATCTGACTTGCCACGTGACCTGCACAGACTCCATAGCAGACCATTGTTACATTCCATTGATTCCCCCCTCCCTCCGAAAAATCCCATAATTTCTGGCATAACTGGACATACACAAACCGACGCGGGTAGATGGTATTCTATTTTTCATTTTTAAAATGCCCGACAACCACTGGCCCTTTGATACATCTCATGTTTAGTTTATCCTTAACATCCGGGGGATTCCCAACTGCCTGAACATCCTAGTGATACTTCCTATTCACAAACGCCAGAAACCCTCAAACCCCAACATCTGTTACCCCTTGTGCCTTACATATACCACCTGATAAGGAACTCAGTCATTGATTATTGTCCATACAAATAGAAGTAAAAAATCCGGTGTATAAAGTAATCATCGCATGAATATTCTCACGTGAAACAGTCTGCATTCTATTCGTTGAAAATGGATTCATCTAACACATCTAATTTTGCAGTATCAACAGAGTTTACTGTAATGGGGCACCAAGTTGTAGTGTATTTTCCACTTCGTGTAGACTGTAAATACTTGTACCGCTGTTGAGTGCCCAATCGTGTTCTGTGACTCAAAATTAAAGGATTTTGCTTAAAAAAATGACCTTTTGAATTCAATTCTCTTAGTAATCCATTGCCTCTGTGCACAGTCACTCTTGTGCATACTTTTTATCGTTTAGATCGCTCGCCTATGATCCAGAGACACAATCCATCTGAACCTGGTCGTGTGAAGTAAATGGTTGGTCGTATCGACCACCATCACTATTTTGGGAGAGTAATCGTTTCCTGAGTGTGTGTGTGTGTGAGAGACAGAGAGAGAGTGCACGCACACTTGGGCCAAATAAACCATAAACCGTCTGCCTTAGATCCCCGGATGACCCAGTTTTCGGATGACTATGGAACGGTTTGTCCGATATTCGGTTCGCATGACTGTGGTCCGCAAGAGATCAGAATCACTCTACAGTTGCAATGCTGTTCCGCAACCACTCAACAGTTGTTGAGTGCATGCTCACTGTTGAGCATTTGTTCACAGCTGTCAGTTCCTGTTCCGACCACATTTTGTTATTCAATCGAATTGTGTTGAACACATCTGCTTGTGGAAACTGGACGCGTAAAAGTGAAGGTAAAGTGGCAATGACGAATTCTGACTTGAGGACAGATCGGTGTCAAGTTCTGATCCGACATGGATGAGAGTAACCGCTCTGATCTACATAGTTTCACGACAAACCCAATTTACGATAAGCCTGACATCTCATTCCTAATATTAACCCTATTAGAATCAGTTGATGGGAAATGCCCGATTCACTGTTAAGCGATGGGCATATCCGGGCCGGCTTTGCAAATTACAAACGTACAGTCGTACGGTAGTGCTCTCGTTTTGAGCTCTGAAACTTCTGCAATGCCGTATAAACTCTCCCCCGGTATTTTATGCGCAACCATTATTCTTTTCTAACCCTATTGATTGAGAAATCTTGAAACGCAGATAAGCGGGAGACAAAGTTACTTGACTGGATAGTCGTTTGTATGAGTTGACCAAGGTACTGAAACACCTTATGTGATAGTCACCAAACCAATCAATAGAATACACACACCAACATTATATATCATGTTACGCATGTGATCGGATAAGACTCCTCGGAAAGCAATGGTGGTCGATTACAGTAGTTGGTGGAGGAATACTAATGGTGGTGTAACTAAGACATACCAAGAAGGTATGAGCACCTTGTCCGGGGCTCTCGGTTGCATAAGTCACATTGGATTTTCTGTTTGGGAGCCTTGTGACCGGCCTGACCAATCATTAGACGCCGAGAAATATAGCTGAGTGTTGTATCTATTGCCCTCATGTATCTATTTACGCAAACCTATACTCTACTCAATTTTCTTATTCGTGTTTTTCGGTGCTACTCTCACTTATAATTTCCTTAATTTCCTCCTTCATCGGTGACCAACCTAAAGAGTATCTTAAATACAGTAACCGCAGTGATCACACTACGGTGAGAGGTCATTGATGGTGACCCGAAATGAGCACAGATGATAGTTTAAAAAGACGAGATTACTGCACTGAGATAGGTGCTGATTGAAACTTGAGTTTGTTTACAGTGAACAAGAATACGTTGTTAGCAAAATGTAATGGTGATCCTTTAAGATCTCCGCGTCGTTCATTGAGAAGAAATAGACTTGCACCTAAATGAAATTATAACTTCCCTCAGTAAATTACTTTTTTTTCTCTATTCCAGTTCTATTATGTGACTTCTTTTGACCGAGGTTTTTATGCAATACAATGGAATTGTACAAAGATAGGTCTCTAGAGAATGCAGACGCTACAAATAAGCCCACACCTGTCACAATTTGGACAAAAATTGTTTTATCCCTGTTACTTTTGAATGTACAATTCGCTGAACACCAAAGCACCTTCGGTTAGAAACTCATTGTAATTAATTGCGTGTGCAGACCACCGTCGGTGCATTTCAAATGAAGCTCTTTGATTGCAATTATTCAGAAGTGCGATCTCAAACTGGCAGAAGACTGTACCGGGTCTAATGGGCCATGGAAACTAGTGGTCATGCATTTACCTCAACGAAAAGCTTTTATTCAATGAAAACGCAGTCTAACGTGTCGACTTGAGAGGGGTTTAACCGTTAGACGCATTCTGATTTTAACTGCAAGCTAAACGACCAGCAGTTTTCATCGAATGATACTCTAAAGCATAATTTTGGTGAATGTCGTCATTCTCGTAATAAAATGTACCACCTAAAACTACTAAAGGTTTGTCCAGAAAGATCGCTAATATATATATATTGCTAATGAAACAGAATTAAATTATCATAATCTACGGACTACCGCATGGTTCAAAGGTTGATATGAGAATTTAGCGATTTTTCTGAATCGATATATTATTGCAGCCATTGGGACTTGGAACCCTTAAGAAAATCAGCTGAAAACCATGTAGCTCTTATTTTGGGGGCAACTAAAGTTGCAATATACGGTTACGCATAAAATCCTCGATAAGCTGTTCATCTACGACTCTAAAACGCCCAAACCTTCTATCGGTATAACCATCAGTGGAGTTTCAAAGGGGTTGGTGAAGCGAAGGATTAAGGCCACTTTGTTTGATATGCATTGGCGCCGCTGTATCACACATTCAATGGTGGCTAGTAAGTGCAGTTTGGGGGTGTTTTGTTTGAGAAAACCATTCAACTGAACAGTTAGGATCCATTTTTAGCTTCTGTGTAGGAAGAGCTTTTGAGAACTGGTAAAGAACAGTTTATTTTGCAAGAATTCGTAATTCTAAGATTCTGCGAATGGCAGCACATTCGCAGCGGACAACAGAGCACGGAATGACAGTTGTCAGTACTTCCTTCATTCTGCGATATCATCCGATGTCACTAAAATCAATTTATCAGCCAGGTCATCTTCTATAACCTGCAAGATTTAGGCGCACTAACACCAACAAACCCTTGCTTAAAAAAACAAGCAAACATGCAAATCGTTTCACCTGGACAAACATGCACAATTATTTGAGTTATAGATAGTTAATGGATTGCAAATTCATTTTCCGTACATTCCCAGTAAACCATTAAACTTTCGGGAACCATTGTACGACTATTTCTTTCTTGTGTGATCTACTCTCTGGTTATGGCATATCGGAGGGATATGCATTCCGTAGATTACCAGAATTAACTCCGGCGATTGTTTTCAGGTCAAAGCTCTTCGATCTATCATCAGCCTGCCTCAATCTGCCGTTTCAAATTTACTCTCATCGCTAAGAGAAGCATCAAATTGATGAATTGCTGCTCGTTCTATCAGGAATGGGCCCTCCAAGGGTTGAGAACACCGGGTCAGATCTCTAACCATTATCAGGTGATCGTTTGATCACCCTTCAGTGTTTTTCTAAGCGCTATCTGTCGCGAAAATTATTATAGTATAACCATGAGTTTGATCCACACACGCTTGTAGCACCTCCGCAAAACATGCCTTTCACCTAAAGCTGAACTTCCGGTTTTTCTGATGGATCCCAATTTGGCATTTTAAACTTTAACTTTACCAATCCAGTCGCTCCACCCAGAAAGCTCAACATTGAACCTACAATACTATTTGAACGGAAAGTTTTACAGATGTTGAGATCTTATAAGATAAATTAGAGCAAACAGAACTCACTTGTTGTTGTTCCCGTTTTTTGAGCAATTGCGCTTCATAGTCCGCTTGTAATCGTTGCTGATTTTGTCGTTTCTTTTCTTCAGCGTGTTGTTCCGCCTCCCGATATCGTGCGGCTTCTTCCTCGAGTAACAAAGTTTGACGAATTTCTTCCAATTCACGTCGTGAAGCTTCTTTCTCCAACAGTTCAGCACCGAGACGTGCCTATGGATTTTGTAAATGCGATACATGGATGAGAGTGATGCGAAATAAAGCAATAACGAACACAAATTTGTTAAACTTTCGAAATCTCACTATGAAACAATAAACGGAATGGATTACTTACAAACTGATAAAGCAATTTACGGTAAAAATAAGCTCATACCCAGTTAATCAACTGAATGTTTTGTGCTACGCAAAACAGTCACTGTCGGTGTGTTTTCCTCTTAAACATAGTACCTCGTCATCTTGAAGAAGTCGGAACTAGAAAGAACACACAACATCATCAATAACACATTCAATGGCATCAAGTTCACAATGGAGACGGAGAAGGATAAACTACTGGCATTTTTAGACATCCTGATCATCAGAACGCCATCAAGAAAACTGGAGACAACGGTCTACCGCAAAGCAACGCATCAAATCGTAAACTTCCAAATTAATCATCCACACAGCCACAAAAGATTATTTGTTAGAATCCTCTTCGGAAGAATCCAAACACACTGCGGCGCCGACATACTCAAGAAGAAAGAAGAAAGATATCTCCTCAGAGTATTTGCTCGCAACGGTTACACCCAAAACTTCATCAAAAGAACTTTAACCCGAGGAAAGAAACAAACAATAGACGGAGAATCGGGAACAAGAACGACCCTGCCGTACATCGAGGACGTTTCGGAAATGACAGCAAGACTGCTCAGATCGTATGGACTCCAAGTCGCCCACAGACCTACCGCCTGTCTAAGGAGACTTCTGTCAAAAAGAAAGGAGAGAACAATGGAGGGGACAAGAGCAGTGTTATCTACAAAATAAACTGCAAGAACTGCTCAAACACACTTTATCGGACAAACTGGGAGAAAACTGTCCATAAGGATCCGTGAACGCCAATCAGCAGTTGGGAGACATGACCTACTATCTTTGATTTTCCTCCACGAAGATCAAGAAGGAGATCAGTTTGACTTCGATTCAGTGAAAATTATCGATCAAGCCCGGTCAAAACACGCCTGAGAATTTCTCGAAGTTTGGCACTCCTCAATCTACTCAATAAACAGGCACATCGAACTGAATCACGTGTACACGCCAATGCAACTCAAGGATC